ATCTTAGTATCTTCCTAATTCAGTCATGCAAGTAGTAGGGGAACAACCATCCTACTCTTACTCGCCAATAAAGTTCTGATCAGTCAGAGAGGTGCACTGAGCACTGAAATCAGCAGGCTAAAGAAAGACAGTGTTGGGAGGGGAAGAGAAAGAGTACGTGAGATAGGGCAGACAAGGTAAAAGTTCTAATTGCCTTGGTTCCTAAAAGCAAAACACCGTCACACAAAGTATCCAGATCCACTTTGCACTGTTGTTTACTCCATCTTGAAGCTTTCAACCTAGTTGTTAATTGTAGTTGCAGTTATGCCTTTCTATATAGAGAGTAAGGCAGAGACCCGCATACGTAATTCCAAAGGATAAGATAGAATATGAAACAGCTGTCAAGAAAAGTGATCTTACTGTTCTGAGGCAATATGGTAATACAGTGAAACAGACAAGACTAACTAAAGCATAATTCTTAAGGTCTCCCAAGTGCCTACAAGCAATGCGAGAATTACTTTTGAAAATCTTGGCTATAGAGCTACCACCTGTTTGATGTACTTCCAGCTAACAGAGGACAACTTCTGCAGAGCTCTTCAAGTAGAGCCTGCAATTCAATAACTGCCTGCATTCTCCACTATAAACAATTAAACACACTGCTTTGTGACCTCTAAAGGGATTTGAAAACAGAAAATAAAACAAGCTCTTGCAGTTACGCAACCATGGAAAACCAAAGATGTTATTTATAGGAAGAAAACTCAGTCCTTAGATTAATGAGCATCCTGAAGGAGTCACCAGGAAACACTGCCTACGCCTGTGTCTGCTATCATTTTCCAGTCTACTAACTTTGATCCCAACAATCAAAGAATTGAGTTGGAAGGGACCCTTAAGGGTCATCTAGTCCATCCAACTCCCCTGCAATGAACGGACATTCACGGCTCAACCAGATGCTCAGAGCCTGGTCCAGCCTGACCTTGAGCGTTTCAAGGGATGGGGCACCACCACCTATCTGGGCAATCTGTTCCAGTGCCTCATCACCCTATCTATCTCCTTACACCCAAACTAAATCTCCCCTTTCTTAGTTTGAAACTGTATCCTCATGGTCAATCACAACAGACCTTGCTAAAGAGTCTGCCCCCTTCCTCCTTACAACCTCACTTTAGATTTTGGAAGGCCGCTCTCAGGTCTACCTGGAGCCTTCTCTTCTCCAGGCTGAACAGACCAGCTCTCTCAGCCTGTCCTCATAGGGGAGGTGTTCCACCCCCAGGGTCATTTTTGTGGCCCCCTATGATGTTTGATGTTTTGAAACAAAACTGTTTTCCTTGTTCCTTGTTTCATACCAGCTGACTTTCTGTCAATTAAATAACACTGAGAAAATGAAAGTAAGACTCCTGTGTCATATTACCTAATGAAGAATGGAAATCAATCAGTTGCAAGAATTGTTAATTTTATAACTCTTAATATTTGCTTTTAGAATGTGTTCTGCAGAACAGCAGGAAATAAACACTATTTTAAAGCTTCTTTTAAGATACATGGAAGGATATGAAAAACTGTGCAAAAAATAAGCTATAATAATATAAGAACGCAGAGTACACTAGTATTTAAATTAAAAAAAAAGTGCAGCAGAGGAAAGAGTATTTTATATAAAGTTGTTAAGACATACAAATAACGTTTGCTCAGAAGTAATTGGTTCGAAATTCGAGTTAATCCTTTTCTAAATGGAGTGATGCAGAATACAATTAGTTGAGGAAAAAAAAATAAGGCATCCAGGTTGACAGCAGCAGGATAAGCAATTAACCTACTAGGCCTCCCAGTTCCCACATCAGGACAATAAACAGTAGGTCCAGAATTCTCCTCCTCATACTCTAGAGGTTACTTAAGCACACAAGGTTTCTTTCAAAATGTATATGCCAGGGATACCTTCAATTAATGATAAATACAAATATTGCTAAGTTCTTAGCTGTGAGTGAGAGATGTCTCCCTCTATTTCTGAACTGCTCAAAATTACTTGAAATATCAGCAAACAGCTCTGAGGAAAACAAAACATTCTTCAAAGAACAGACTTTTTTCCCTAATGCCCGCCCTGATTAATCACAAGCTGAAAGGAATACTTGATGTCTGGTGTGTATTTCAGTTAACACCATTTCATAAAACTCGGCTTAACAGAAGTATAAGATAAATTAAATCAAATAATACAAAAGTTGAAAGATATGACAGCTGACTTGCAGTCAAGAAGAAACACCCGGTCCCTGAGCAGTAGGAAAGACCACAGCAAAGCAACTGGCCAAGCAAGCAGCAAGCAAATTTTTAAAGCTATCTTCATGTATTATTCACTTCCCTTAGAACACAGCTGTGACAAAAAGACCATCCACTTTTCAAATAAACATATGCTATATTGGATAACACCAAAGGATACTACACTGTGGAGCACACAGCCTGGAAGATCAGTTCTTACAGCTAATGGTCAAGGACATTGATGATGAACGTTATGATACTGAGCATTTACGACTCAGAGGCACAGTGCTATTTGTTCAGTTTGCACCTTATCAGAGCTTTTTATGAAGGCACTCTTCGTAATGCTAAGTTGAAAGTTACCCACAAATAAGGAACTGCTTCCCTTAAGAAACATCACCCTGAATATTCTTCTCAGAAACATTGTGTACGCTTGCTCTTTACAGTATAGCAGTAAACAACATTTCTTTATGACACCTGAAAATAAGCCAACTGCCCCAGAAGAGACATCTTTATTTAGCATCAAATTCTTAAGCTCACGTGTCTCTACACAAAAAGCTGTGATATATTTATCTCTGTAACATCATAAATCATGTGAAAAAGTTCAAAGCACGAGAGTACAGAGAATGATTTAAAGATTCAGTTATTGACAAATGGCGTTACAAAAACCCTGTCTTGAGATGGAAGTATTTATTCAGTATACAGAAAGCTCAAGTAACTTTCAGCAACAAGAATGAGCTGAGATCAGTATCTCTGGCACAAAAACGTGATCAGAAAGACACACCTTTTTAAGTATGAAAAGTGTAGAATATTTTCTTTTATTTTAGATAGACCACATATTTACAATTATAAGTACAAAAATCTGATATCAAGAAACTAAAAAAAGGAAAGACTAAACAGAAAGATTCTGCATGGCTCTGAGACTGGTAATTAGTAGTAGATCCTTCAATACATATATCTGGGCTTAAGAACTTACAGACTAAACAAAATGTTTCAACTAACTCACTCATAAGTTGTCATTGTTACAGTCTTTGGAGATATGGCATTTCCATATTCACATTGTACAGAAGTTTTCCATGAATTTTCAGCCAATATTTCAGAGAGAGAGAGAGAGAGAAAGTGAAGCATCAAGTTTGGTTCTAGCCATAAACTCAATATTGATAAGTCTATAACCTGGAACTAATTACTAAGAACTTGTTTCTCAATTTCCACAGCTGAAATGTGATCCAAAAATCTTTCTCCATACTTCAAAAATTATAACTAATTTACCCAAACTATTAAGCAGAAATCTCGTAACTGTCTTTTCCTTTCTTCTGATGTCTGCTTTGCACAATCCTCCCTTGAAACCCTGTCTGTAGCATAACTGACAGAGCTAACTGTTCAAAGGCAATGGAGAGATAAGGCCACCCCCAGCAGTACGGGAAGTTATTGACATAAGGTCCTATAGAAACCAGCTGCAAAACTGTTTCCAGAATGTAACTGTTAATTTGTAAACACAATAAAAACCGGTGAAAGCAGCACTGGTAACTGAATGTTTACTTTGGTAACACCAACAATAATCAGGCACAGCAAAACATGGGACTTCGAAGTTCAGTTATTGCATAAAACACCTATCAACAGTGCATTATTACCAGAATTGGCATGATATAGAAGTACAGAAATAGCTTTGGGTTTCTTTTTTACTGAAATAAGGAACCAGTAACCAGAATAGGCTTGGCCCTATTTGCAAAGTCAACGAGAAAAGCAGCTCCAAAGTTGAACTGTGGATGCAATCTATCAACTTGCACCCAACATCTCTTCAAAATCTTCAAAAATTCTACATGGCCGAACATGGAAACAAATGCACAAATCTATTTGGCAATGATATTTTCTTTGCAACCACCAGCAGAGAACCCTGACTGAGATTTAATAGTTAAGTTTCCCCACATGAGCAGCAGCAATCGAGGTATGCATAGAGCTGTACAAGTCTTCTCGCAATGGCTCTGCTCATGGCAATTGACAGAATCCTTAGCACAGCACATTAACACCTCATTAAGAGATTGGTGAAAAATGGAATAACTGAGGAAACAGGCAGGGCCACAGAAAGCAGAAAGGCACAGAGCTGAAGAAAATTCTGTTTACTGTATGAACTCTCAGGTCAAACAGGGAGAGCAACAGGGCACCAAATTAGGGCACCTCCACAATCAAGTGACTTCTGATAAGGAATTTTTCTGGATAACAACTTTAGGCTGAAGTACTGATCTCTGCTCAAATTTTGTTTCAGAGTTCAAGTTCTCATCTATATTTTGAGTAAAACAATGCATTTCACCTCAAATTACACTACTGAAGAAGAGAATGTTTTATGTCTTGAAGGCAAGAAAGCCTCAGCTACAGATCTGGATGTCCACTCATTAGTGAAACGCTTCTGTCTTAGACACTGAGGTCACTTTCACTATTACAAGGAAGTAAACAGTTGTTTGCACTATCTCTCCCCACTATCAAGAAAATTTACCTGTTCTGTAGCAGTGTAAATAAAGTTATCTTCAAATCACAGGCTTGTTATTTTGAAAACGAAAAAATGTTTTGTATGAAAAAAATGACAGACATCCCATAACACTGAGCCACCACATTAAAATTATTATTTCATTATTTTAAATTTTTTTTAAATTATCAAAACATTACTCATACTGTCTCCTGCCTCAACTGTGTTCCCCCTCTGCACCCTACAAGAAGTACATTTCTACCAGCTCCAAAGACTCCAAAGACAAAATTCACAGTCCCTGGTCTGCCATAACAATTAACTCTTATACCTCTGGTCTGATGATCTCAGATCTCAGCTGGCACCTCAGGCATTTGGAGCTGCACACATGCCATGGTTACACCTTACAGCTCCTTGCTGTATTCTGTTGAGCTGTTCACAAATTAAATACTATGTTCATATTATTCTTACATACATCCAATTATTAACTGAGCAAAACATGTTTTTTACTACATAAAGTTGGACAATCAAAGCAATGGAGGGTTACTGAGCGAGTCACACCTAAATTTTGGTAAACCAGTATGTTTCCATACACTGTTACGGCTACTGAGTCCCAATGTTTTCGATATGTACTGAAATATCGCTGTCACTGCACCTTCATACTAGTCAGCTGTCTTTTTGCACTTGATTAAAAGATAACACAGTCCTATGTCTATCTTTAAACCTGTTTGAGCTTTACTATTTGTGTTTGGTTTCATACTGAATACTCCTTGTCAAATGTCAGGGCTGAAACACTCGGTGCTCCACCTTGCATCAGACTATATTGGAAAGACAAACCAAAACAGCTGCACTTTCCAAAAATGTATTTAAGTAGTTTTCCCCATATGAAGAAAAACTTGCATCCTTGCATCCATTCTACTAGCTTCATTCTTTATTATTTGAAATTAAGCAGTAGGGTGCCCTGTATGTAATACCTTAATGCCTTCTGATGCAACCAGAAATATCAGAAAAGTATCTGGAAAGGAGAAAGAACTGAGGTTGAGAGACAAGATGAGAGAGACCAGAATTAAAGAAGATACAGAACAGAAGCTACGAAAGTGTAAGACGTATAAGATGTGAAAGATGAAGGGCCAGAGAGAAGACAATGATGATGGTAGACCACAATAACAGTGTGAAGGAATGCTTGATGATAGGGTATAAAATGAGCAGGTATAAACAAAAATTTTGATACAACACTTTATAATATAAACTTGCACATTATGGCCTTAATTTCTTTTACAGCACTTGTCTGAAATTGTTTGATTGCTTGGAACTAGGCTGCACGAAAAAAAATCTGGAGCCCATAACAGATCTCATTTAGCACTTTAGTTCTATTTTTGCAGGTGAATAACCTCAGCAATTTGGAAACAGTAAAAACAGACCGATCTAACCCTCAAATACTTCGGACTTCATGCATTTACAGCAGCGCGTGCTGCCATCTGGAGGCAGAAAGTTCCAAGTACAGCTACAAAGAAGATGCAGTGGAAGGAAACCCATACCTCCCTAAATTTGACTAAGACAACTAGTGTTTCTTTTGAGTTTTTAACCAATGAAAATTTATTAGGGCAGTGAAATTATGGTCTCCTTTTTAAAAAGAACACAGACTCCCCATTTTTAAAGGATGTTTATTGCACAATTCAAAAAGATGTGAAAGCCTTTATACCTGTGTAAGGTTGCACGTTTCAGTGATCATGCCATTGAGCGCACAGAACTCAGCTGAATGGAGTCTTTTCTGGAGAGTGTAGAAATTAGGGTCACAGGGAACATGCAACTGTATTAAAATAAGAAAAGACAAACATCAGTTCAAGTGTAAACCTACAGAGTAGAATGAAGATGTCTGTATGAAGGGACAACAGGCGAGACCAATCAACCTGGATACCAACAGGATATTGCAGTTCAAGCTTCAGATGGGCTTAAAGCCCTTATGACAATGTTCCCCACTCAGTGACCTACGCCCTTCTCTCTGCTACTAAAGATGAACATTGCATAAACATAAGCCTAAACCCAACCCATTGGTACTTCAACAGAAGAACATTGCTAGCAAACAAAAAATTTACTATTTGATGCACTTAGTGTGTGTTATACCACCGAGAATCCAGATCTAACAGTGTAATTTAATGCACAATCAAGTGAAGAGAAACTTGCTCTTATCCTGAATGAGCACTTTCCAAATCTGCAGGCTCTCAGTACAGACCTTTACACACAGTTAGGTTTTTCCACATGGGAATAACTCAGACATGAACAATAGAGCAATATTTATTTATTAATTACTTGTACTGCATTACGCTTTCATGCTCACTTATTTTTCCTGAGAAATGTTCTGGCCTGTGCAAACCGTAGGGAAGTTTAGCTTCAAACTAAGGTTTGTAATTATACATGCTGATGCTTTGAACCTAGGCTGTGTCAATTAACTATTACCTCAAATGGCTTTAGAAATATTACTGTATTTGCATTAGGTAAAATTGCAAGCAATAACTATACCATAGTACTGGACTTACTCGACTGATGTCATCTAAGGATGTTTACCAATGACATTCTTGTCTTCATCCTTCTTCTACTTCTGCTTTTTATACTGAAGGGAAAAAAAAGTTATTAGTGGAGAAAAATGCATAACTAAAAGCAATGACTGTCAGAGATTTACAAGTCTACTCATCCACACAAAATTGTCTCAGATGCAGTTCAGAGATGTGATGGGCTTTCTAACTACAATATAAAATAATGGAGACATTTGCTTTCTCACGAACACTGCATCTGATCTTCCTTTCAGCTGCAGGATCTGAATGATGCTTTTCATAGTTGCATGGCGAACAAAATCTGATTCATGCACAGACAGTTATTTACTAGACTGTAACTGCTGGGATTTAGCTACTACTATAATTTTGTAATCTATGACTAATCTGAGCTTGCTCCTGTAAGAATTCTTATTTGGATTTCACAGACTGGCAGAGATAAGGACTTAACAGTCATTTAGTAGATTAAATCACAGATACTTAGAGCAAGTGGAATTTTGACTTGTTTCATTATACTCAGAAATCCATGTTAACATGTCACGCCCACCAGACAGATTTAAATCCAAGGAAGCCCATATACTCTCAGCTGTCTACTGGCATACAAAGTACATTCTTTTATTTAATTATCTGGTTTGTCATTCCACAATTTTTCAGCTAGGATACATTGATGTGGACCTTGTAGAACTGAGTGATATTTTGAGCTACTATGATAATAAAGATGCATTTCCAGTGGGTGATAACTATGAGTAGATGGATTACCACAGTTTTGTGGTAATTTTCTGTGCTGTCTGTCCCTGATCTGCACAGCCACAGACAAGACTTGAGAAAACAACATTCTGCAAATACAACAAAATGACTAAGAGAGGATAGATTCCTGTTAGGAATGCAGCAAGTGAGTATCAACGAACTGTGACTTGCAAAAATTCCACATCTTTCCTCTGTGATAGGTTCATACTAGCCACCACTGTGGAAATTTACTGTAATTCTTAATGACAACAAGTTACACGTAGACTAACTTAAAACACGAATGGTTCTAAATAATACACTTAATTTTACATTGGCAAAGGTGAATTTTGAAACAGGAACCACTGCAATCATAAACACAGCAGACATTTCCTTTCACCTGGATACTTCAGTGTCCCAAACAACAGTTTGTACAACAGTATGCTGTTCATAATTTGCTTTGCAATGTTTTCTTCATTTTGAACTGAGTCAGAGAAAAGCTTAGACAATCTGATGCACTTACTTTGTTCATGATCCAGTCAGCATCCTCAATGGCTCTCTTAATAATTTGCTGTATTCTATCAGGATCATCTTCATCAGCATGAACTTTGAAACTCTGCAACATTTAATTTCAAGCGTTACACTGACAGTCAGCCCAACGCACCGTTGTTTAAATAAAGATCACTTTTAAACCCCAAAGAAAATTTCACGCCAAACTTTTGATTTGAAGATGTAAAAATATTCATCACAGCACCTGCCCACACTATTTCCATAACAAGGCTTATCAAATGTATTTTCCATATAAAATGTTTTACTCTTTTCACACATTATGGCCAGAAAAGCACCAAAAAGATGATCAGAAACTATGAGAACTTCACTTTGGAACAACAATCAAGGTATCTTAATGTAGAAATGCATAGAGGTACAAGCTCTGGTTTAGAAAGCATGTAACATCCCAGTAAATTCAACAAGACCTAAGTAAGTCACTGCATGGTGAAGTTTCCTTGAAGTTGCTGTTACAGTAAAACTGCAAGAGACACAGGACAATAGGTATAATCAAAGGCATTAAATAACCTCCATATGAACACCTGTTGTGGAAAACAACCCCAGATGGGGAACTAGCAAGTATTACCAAAAGGACGTGGCCAGGTAAATAAATAAACAATTGTTGTTCACTATCTTGACTAACACAAGAACTGACAAGAAAGCGAAGGAAAGCAAACAAAAATCAAATGCTCCTTCACATAATCCCTGTATAATCCTCTGAACCCACGGAGGTTTCAAGCCTACAGAAGAATTTGCTTTAAATTTCAAGGAGTTATAAGAAATTGGTCCAAATTGTAGGATTAAAAAAAAAAAAAAAAAAAAAAAAAAACCACACCACAAAAGACCTACAACACAACTGTGAACTCAATAACAGAAAAGAATTACATTTCTCACCTGCCTGATGGCATGTCTGTAATGCTGACGAATATTCTCTTCAGGAAGCTGCTTACAGCATCGGAGCAAATAACGGTACAACTGCAGAGCGTTCCGAACTGACCCAGCATTGGGTAGTGGAGCCATTACCAAGCTTTTCAGCTGTAGAAAAATCAAGAACACAAGTCAGGATACTCACTGAGTTTTATCAAAAATGCAGTAATAAAAGCATAAGGCAGTTTTACAACAACAAAAGCAAGGCATGTAAATTAAAACTTAGCACCATAACTTGAAAAAATCTTTAGAAGAAAACAATATGAAACTTGCTTGGCTTACAAACAAATATGCAGAGAAGATCACTTTACTACTGCGACACTAAGCTATATTGTAATACAGTGCTAGTATTTTCCTAGTAAAAAAGAAAACAGGAACGACCATCCTCCCCCCAAAACAAACAAACAACAAAAAAAGCAATGACAGAAAATAAAGGAGTACTGGCAGCTCCAAGAGAGCTATCTGCTTGTCAAGCCACGATGGTCCTGAGGCTCATAAAAGCTTGCAGTGTTTCCTGTGAGTATCTGTAAGAGCTCATCCACATGGTGACACTGTAGAATTAGGGCCTTGATAATTGCTATGAGTTATGTAGTAATTTAAAAATATTTCCTAGCATTGTGACTCTCTCAGGAGTACGCTGCCGACTGGCTTGTGGATGTCAAGCTTTAACTCAAAATACAGAAGATATGCAAAAAATACTGAGCTTTGAAATTTTCTGTTTTTTGGAACAGCAACAGAAAACGAACAAATCTAGCAAGTGTCACCTCAGCAACTCCATCTATGTATTGCACCAATACGTCCATCCGAGCTATATGAAGTGCTACTCAAATAAAGGACTTGTCATTTAACAGATGTCTGCCATCTGCAGAGAACTAAATTAACATTTGGAAAATAGCACTTCTACATCATTACTCTTTTAAGAACAAAGATAATACATAAGTATCTGAATAACGAAGGTGTACGTCAGCACTGTAGCACCCGCTATAATACCCATCGCTTGGATTTAGTTACGTTTTCCTGCTCTTAAGCAACGTCTTTGGCCAACTTCTGAGTACAGTACCACAGTAACCATCCTATGCATGGGCTGCTAGGAATCAAACTGATTATTCCTAATAGGCTGCAATACTTCAACAGTTTGGAAGATGCACAGGAAAAAAGCAAAGGCAGAAATTTAAATCTAAACTGCATCATTTCTAAGTACTTTGGATCCAAACGTATTTCACAACAACCCTTTAAGAAATAGCACAGTACGTGCAACACCTCAGAGCTTTGTGTAGGCCAAAACAAAGCCTGCTGTAAGCGGCTGCTTTCAGTCAGCTCAGAGCTGATCTCGCAGTATAACACAACCCATGCAGGTCCTATCACAAATGTACTAAAAACTGGAAGAATTGTTTAAGTGACCCCCATTAGGAAGGAGGAGGTTATGGAGGTTTACATTTCATCATCCATACGACTATTTTAATTTCTTTGATGTTCTGAAAGAACCAGAGAATAAAGTTCCTGGTACCTTCCAACATCTCCTGCAGGAACACCGCACCCTTGAATCAGACACTGTGCTCTAATCTCTCCAGATTTCATAAAATATTCATTCAGAACTCACATTAACTTTCTCACAGATTTGAAAGGGTCATACCTTAGATTTCCTTACATCCATTCAGTTGCCAAGCAGCTACAGCTCCTGACATTAGCAAAAAACTGCTCCAGTTGAACACTGTCTTATAACTACAAGAGGACAGGGTTTGTCGGCTTAAAATAAAACCCCACAAACAGACATCTACATTTATATTTAAAAAATATATATCTATAAGGGTGAAAAGTGACCAGGACAGTGGAAATTTTCTGTTGAACGTGATACAGATTTGTTCCCATCTGCTACGGAATTAGTATCTCTCAAGAATTTTGAAGCAGAACAGAATAAATACCATAGGACAATAATGCTGGAACATTTAAAAATCATCTTTCTAAGCACCTGCAATATGAACACTTGCAGACACTGGTACTTCTCACGGTGGCAAAAAGCTGTTCACCGAGTATCTACAAAATGTCCATCATTATGAGACATCTACTGCTGTGATCTCCACTTTTAGTAAAGCAAAACAGACTGTGGTGAAATCAAGTAGGTACAAATGAGCATCTCTCTACAACAGGAACAAGAGCTCTGCTGATTTACAGCAGTATCTTTAAAGCTTAAGCCATAGCAAAGGTTTGAAGACTGGTAAAATTTATACTATAGCAATTCAACAACAGGTTCTGGATTCAAAAATGTAACATCCTGTGAAGAGTTTGCTGCAGTACAGCTCTTTGTCTGCAGAAGACGTATGAGAAGTCTTAGCATTACTATCTGCATTGGAATTGTGCCCATAATCTTCAGCCAGGAGCTCAGGCTCAGTCATGGCAGGTACTTCCTCTTTCTGAGTACACCTATACACCTATCATGAAAAAGTTTCTGCCACAAACTATTTACAAGGCAGACTGATGACAAGTCACAAGATGAGGCAGATGAGCCAAACAGGTGGGATGGGAATGGGGAGGAGGTGACAGCAATCCAAACATGTTTTTGTGCAGACTAATAGAGCACACAATATAGCTCACCAGCTGCTTAGCTGCTATCAACAGGCAAGTTTTGTAACAGTCTCTTTCAGCAGGTCCTTAGAAAATAAAGGGTCATAGCTAATGAGCGAGGGGTACCGTGAAAGTCCTCAAGAAAAGCTACGATGACACTTCACCAGGAAAATCTTTTTCTACCCCTCAAGAGAAAAAGATGAGCTTTAAGGGATAACCATTAAGTGCTGTCTCATGAACTGATGAAGTAAAGACTATCAAAACTAATTTAGGATGGTCACTTCCTTACACAGTCCTTGGGGAAGTACTGACATTCAGGGGATCTTAAAGTAGATAAGGAACGTTCTTGAGATGGGTAGATGGGCAATGCCAAATCAAACATGGCAATGGCAGCCCTGTGGTTTCGCATGCAGTGCCAGGAAGCCTAATACACATCAGAAACAAAAAGTGGTTAATTTTCATTTGGTTATTATTACTGAATTCTAAAATAAACATCTTCAGGACACAAGTAGTATAGCGTTTTAAGGAAAGATTCCACGGACAAGATGCAGGAAGTTAATTCTTTACAGGTAACTCTGAAGTAGATGTAATAGGTGATGACCAGAGTTAACTTTCAAACACTTCACACCACAGCTGAGCGTGAAATCACAGTGCCTTGGCATGAAATCTTAAGTTATCTGGCTCCCATCCTCATAAGCTTTCCCTTCTGCCAGTCATTCCCTCCTCTCAGAACTAAGAAGTAACAAAGACAAAACTGAACTGGTCCTGGCAGGTCACTGAGGTCAGAAAGCCTCACCCACCACTGAACGGTCCCACCTTTATCTGAAACAGATGAGTTGTTCAGTGCACTCTGAGCTTCCCAGGGTGTGCCTGGTTTTGAATATTTGATATGTTCTATTAGTAAAGTAAGAGAGATGAGGTAAGACTTCAAATAATACCTCCCGGGAATTATTCACAGCCAAAATATGGCTTCCATTGGGTTTCAAGAACAATTAGAAAACCATTCTTCCACCATGAGGACAATAAGTTGGCCCTTCAATGCTACAGTAATCTTTCCATTATGCTTGTTTGATTCCAGTTCTGTTCACTCACATTTGTTCGATAGAAGTCATTCACCCTCACCCACTTAATACTTAAGGATTTAAATACTGGGCAAAAAGATGTAACAAAAATTCAGAAACACAGACTAAGAGCTGACTTTTCAGAATGGTTCCAGCCCAACTACTCAATTTGTCAGCTCATCAAATTTGCTAATTATGGATTTGCACTGAAACATTCAGCTTAAAATAGTGATCTGAACACCCCCAGAATGCAGTTCATCTCTCATTCACTTCAAATCTTTTTGCTAAAGCATTTTCTCTCTCTACAATAAAACCTATGCTGAACATCAGCTCTCTGCATTTTTTTGTTTGCATTCATTCCACTTTGGCATTTGAGAAAAAGGGTGATGATAGTCTTGGAGCTCATTAAGAGATCCCTGTGCCACCCCTCCAACCAGCAGAATGATAAAGAAACTCCAAAACGCGGCTCAGGTAACACAGACTCAATTGTTCCTTAATCTTCTCTCCATTGAATGCAGGAGTAGCAAAACAAGGGTTTTAATACACATCCTGCAGTTCCGAAATCAAGTAGGATGATTCCAAGTCTGTGACCTACCATGAAGACAGAAATATAATAAAAGAACTTAACCAGAGCAGGCCTCAGTTTTGTTTGGGCACCTCATTCATAGACTTCTACAGTGCTGGTTAAGATGATCAACCACAGTGACAGAAAACGTTCACATAAACAGCAGGGTATGGCAGGGAAGATTAGAGGTCTTGTGTTTCTTCAGTATCAGCAGTTTTCACTTACAAGTCATAAGCAGGCCTCTCCCAGCGCAAAACAAAGCTTTAAAACATGCTCATTGTTTATTATAAAAAGACTTGCCTGCCCTTGACATTCTCTTAATCTTCTTTTAAACTTGGTTATAAAAACCAAGATGGGAAGAAGGATGCATAATACCCGCCAGCAGCAAAAGCAATAAAAGTACAGCAGAGAAGAACCAATTTGTTCTTGCTTTTCTTGGGACTGGGTGACATCACCAGCAGGACTGGAAGGAAGAGAGTGCTGAGAATGCACTGTACAGCTTGCTGAATTCACAACCACCAGCCACTGGAAAGACTTTAATTTGAGAAAGTCTCCATGCTTACAGCAGAAAGGAGAAACTCCCTCGTAGCAATTTTCCTCAACTGCTACAATGATAGCACAACTCACATTAGCTGTCTTCCACTGAGCAGAAAACTCTTTATTCTTCCTACAAGAATTCCCAAGCTTGCTAAAATCCTGTGCTGCTTCCTGAAAGCAGCTGTTGTCTTTCTTACTGCACTTCACTGTAAGCCCACCACAGGACACAGAAAACTCAATGGCTGTTTGGCAGAATAGCTATTCAATCAAACCAACCTAGTGACTTTCTACAGTTTCTTCGCATAATGCAATAGTGTAGACCTTCTGCCCCTTCCCAATGTTTAACTTTGCACTTGTACACCACACCGTATTAGAGCATTTGC